ACTTGGTGGGAATGAAAAGCTGTTATAGCCCAGTTGAGGGATTTTCTGTATTCACTCATCTCATGACATTGAGGTTTATCAAGAGATTGAGGAACCATTTCTCTCAGATTAAAGAATCCATTCCTGTATTGGATCTAAACTTGGTACTTTAGGTGTCCTATGAGACCTCCTTTGAACCAATAGCTCCCTATTACCTCCTTAACCTTTCCACAAATATAGTCACCAAAAAGGCCATCCCCTCTGCCCAAAGAGTCAGGGAATAGGGGGTGTAATGGTGTGCACCCCTCCCCATTTACAGTATTTTTCAAGTATGAGGTTTTGTTACATCCACATTTTAAATTCTTTCTTAAGGTATTCTCTGAATTTCATATCAGCCCTGGTCATCCATCTCCTAGTCTTTTTTCTGAAACCACATCACACCAGGGAGGACATTGGAAGGGGGTTAGCCTTCTGTCTCGACAGAACCAAGCTGTTTTGGAAATCTCCCATCCTATTTGTATCAATTGTTGACAGAGCCAAAGGGATCACGGTTTCCACTCAGAGACGCTCCAGGTGGATTTCTGGATGCATTATTTCTTGTTATGAATCTCCTGATATACAATCTCCTCCTAGAGTGTATAGCCCATTCCACAAAATCTCTCTCTCTCTGGCATTACTCAAACATGTTCCTATTGTGGAGATTTGCAAGGCTGCAACTTGGACTTTGATACACACCTTTGCCAATCATTACATGGTGGTCCATTCTTCTAGATCAGAAACTGCCCTTGGAAATGCAGTCTTGTCTTCGATCTTGGAATCAGTTCCGAAGCTCCCACCTCTGGATGAGGGTACTGATCGGTAGTCACGTGAAGTTAAGCACCCAAAGGGCAGTACTCAAAGAAGGGGAGATTACTTACCTCATTTGCTAATTGGAGTTCTTCGAGATGTGTGTCCCTATGGATGCTTCACCGCCAGTGCTCCTTCCCCTCTATTTTGGAATCCCCTCTAGGGACTTTGCAATAGAGAAGGAACTGAGGGTGGTTCGCCTGCGCAGCCCTATATCGCCTCAGTGCCGGCCATGAGGCTGTGTACAGCAAGCACATGCACTGCTACCGAAAATCTCCAATCAAAATTGCATGGGTACATGCACATCTGAAGTGAAGCACCTAGAGGGGGACACATCTCAAAGAACTCCAGTTACTGCACAAGGTGAGTTAACCTCTTCTTCTATGGTCTGTTTAAAAGTGATGCCAAACAGTGAAACTGATGAGGTTCATACCTGCTGTAGTGTACAGACAGCACTGGAGATCTGTTCAAGTCCCAGAAAGAAAGAAGAGGTTAAAAAGCTCTGTTTGGTCTGCTATCAACAGGCTCCCAAAAAGTACCTGCCCAATTAGTAGGGCTATTAGTATGTTATATATCGGGGTAGCCAACGTACGGCTCCAGAGTTGCTTGCGTCTCTTCAGAAGATAATATGCAGCTCCTGCCAGGAGCTGACTCTGGGGGAAAATATGGTGGGTGCTCAGCACCCACTGGCAGCTCTATCAGCCCCCCTCTCCCTCCATCCCCCCAAGCGCCTCCCACCAGCTGGCAGCTCTGCATCTCAGCCCAGCACCTCCCGCTCCCTTCCTGTGCCTCCTGCTTACCGCAATCAGTTGTTTCGCAGCCAGCAGGAGGCTCTGGGGAGGGGAGGAGTGAGGACGCAGCGCCCAACCCCTCTGCCTCCCCCAGCGCCTCCTCTTCCCTCCCCTTGCCTCCTGCCCACCACGATCAGCTGTTTCGCGGCCAGTAGGAGGCTCTGGGAAGGGGAGGAGACAGGACATGGCTCACTTGGGGGAGGGGGTGGAATGGGGCGGAAAGAGGCAGGGCGGAGATGGGGCAAGAAGAGGTGGGGTGGGGGTAGGGACTTGGTGGAGGGGAAGAGTGGGAGGCGGGGCCTGGAGCAGAGCCAGGCATCCAGCAACCCTTGGCCCATGCCTGTGTCTCCTTAAATAAAGCACACAGTGACTAGCTGGTGTGGAAATTTTTAATCAAAATTTTTCTTACACCATCTAACAATGGAAGGCAAGTGCAAATGGAAAAGAAAATTCACAGATGAAAATCGAGGCTTCCAACAGGAGTGGGAGAATAAGTACTTTTTCATTGAACGTAATGGTAAGACCATGTGTCGTCTTTGCCAGACATGTGTATCTCAGTTCAAATCTTCAAACTTGCAGCGTCATTTCACTTCTAGCCATGCACATATGGATCAAGAATTCCCACAAGGTTCTGAACTCCGCACTTTAAAACGGAAAACTTTGAAAAAACAAACACATGTAGAAGCCCAGTTCTTCACCAGATTTACCAGCTGATCGCAGACTGTAACATTGGCCTCCTATTATGTGGCTGGCACATAGCCCGTGCAAAAAAGCCCTACTCTGAAGGCGAGTTTATAAAAACGTGCCTCACTGATATGATTTTAATCCTGTCACCAGAGAATGAGAATCTACAAAAGGAAATTTCTGGCCTGCAGCTTTCCCGCCACACAATAGAACGCAGACTCTCCAACCTGAACAGTGACATCCAATCGCAACTGCACTTGCAACTTCAGCAGTGTGAGTATTTGAGCATCGCTTTGGATGAGTCGTGTGATGTACAGGATAAACCTCAATTATCGGTATTTGTCCGGACTATGTCTGACGACTGTGTTGTAAGGGAAGAACTCCTTGATATCTTGTCACTAAAGGACGGAACTCATGGACGGGATCTAAAGGAGGCATTGATGTTGATAGTTGCGAAACACCACTTCCCTTTACAGAAGCTCACTGCCATTGCAATGGGTGGGGCTCTGTCCATTTGGGGATCTGTGAATGTATTAGTAGGGTTTTGTAAGTCTGATAAGAGTTTTCCCAAATTTTGGACATTTCACTGTATTATTCAGTGGGAGCAACTGGTATCTAAAAATTTCAAATTTGATCATGTCATGAAACCTGTCTTGCACATTGTGAATTTCATTCGCTCAAATGCACTCAATCACAGACAATTTCAAAATCTAATCGAAGAACTGGATGAAGACGACTTCCCTGCCGATTTGCCATTTCACTGCGCAGTTCGATGGCTCTTGAGAGGTAAAGTTATTTCCTGTTTTTTAGAGCTCCTGAAACCAGTAAAATTGTTTATGGAGGAGAAGCACAGAAAACACCCTGAGCTTTACAGATCCTGCGTGGGTTCTAGATTTGGTATTTCTTGCAGACATGCTGCTGCATTTGGATAAACTAAACATGGACTTAGAAGGAAAATTCCAGTTGCTGTCTGATCTAGTGCAAAGCGTATTTGTGTTCATGAACAAACTGCAGATGTTTCACGGACAAATGCTTGAGAGAGAGCTGACGCACTTTCCTTCAATGTCACAACTTCAAGCCAGATCAAAAGAAGATGCAGCAGAACCCCTAAAACGGAGCACAACTAGATATACGAGCATGATTAAAGATCTTAAGGACAATTTTGAGGAAAGATTCCAAGATTTGCAGTGGAAAAGAGCTCAAATCAGATTTCTGATTGACCCTTTTAGTGCTGAAACAAATCGTCTGAATCCCCCTTTAGTCACTGATGAAGCAACATCCCAGATGGAAATAATAGAACTTCTGGAAGATGACAGATTGAAAACTGTTCAGAAGACAGAGGGGACCCTTACTTTCTGGAAATCTGTACCAAAGGATAAATACCCCAACATCAGAGGTGCAGCCCTAAAATTAATCTCTGTTTGCCTTGACCTGTCTTTGTGCGTCTGTTTTCTCAACACTCAAACATGTGAAATCCAAGCACTGATCCATTTTGAAAGACAGCCACTTAAGAGAACTGCTGCGTGTGAGCACAACTGAATACAAACCAAACTTCAAGGGAATTGTTGAAAGCAAAGATTGCCAGAAGTCCCGCTAAGTAAAAGGTTAAGACAAATTGTTATAGTTAACTATACATTATAAATGCATAATGTATATTTATTAATGTATAATAAATATACATTATTAAAGTATATGATTGTGTGTGCATATATAGATCTAGATATATATACACACACACACACAGATATACGCATACAATCATTATATATTACTTTGGCTCTTTGACAATGTACATTGGTAAATACTGGCTCTTTCTCAGGCTCAGGTTGGCCACCCCTGTTATATATGTACTCATGTGGCCCCCTGTCCGCATAGTATCAGAATGCCTCACAAACACTTTAATTTCAACAACCACTATGAGTAGGAAAACAGTCTCTCCATTTACAGAAACACAGATCAAGTGACTTGCCTATGGTCATAGTAAGCTTGTGTAAGTAAATCCATTTCCTCATTTCACATGAAATATTTGGTAGCCTAAGGCATTCTGCTCTTTTGCATCCTATTAGTCAGAGCTGCCATGGCAAAAAACAAAAACCAAACAAATACCTTTCATATGCCAGTTCAGATTGAGGGCAGAGAAATACTGCTTAGCTGCCAGTTTTTAAAAGACATGTTTGAATATAGTACTGGTGAAAAGTGGTTTGACAACCCTGGAGACTGAAGTCTTGTAGCCACAGAAAAGGTACATAACAGGCAGTGCAAGTTTGCCCACACTTCTTCATTGAGCCTTAGTCCTGTCCTTTAGGGATAACAGCGTAGGTCTGTGCTGTGTAATTGTTTGCTTCTTTGTAAGAATTGCCAGCAAGATTGCCTAGGTATATTTGTTGTGATTTTGAATGTATACAACTTGTCCATTGAGATGAGTCATATTCTGTTTTCACATAGGCTACCAAATAGCCACCTGGTAGCAGTAACTGCCAGTAGCATCCTTGTCTGGATTTGACTCCTCTACCTACAGGTGAAGGGCTCTATAACCCACTGCCACTGAATAATGCCTGACTTCCTAGTGAGAGAGATCACAACCACAGGAAATGAAAATCGAACTTTGCTTTGATGTAGCTAGCAGAGCGCTCCCAAAAGGGTCCTATTCTCACTGATTTGACTGCCACCTCTATTGTTCTGTCGTCTTTTCACTTTTAGATCTGAGGGCCATTTGTGTTTGCCTGTACGATATACACACTCCTTTCCAGAAGCATTACAGAAGTTTTATCGTGGTGAGTTCAGGTAGGATTCTATCATCTTTGTTTTTACAAAATATATTTCCTGAGGAGAGCATGTGTAATGATGGGCAGTTGTACAAACAAGAGAAGAAAATTAATAAAATAAGTGCATTAAATCATGAACTGAATTTTGAGGCTTAACACCTTGAAGGATGACCTTGAGCCTTTGTGGTTAAGACATTGAATTGGGGTTTGGGAGACCTAGGTTCAGTTTCTAACTCTACCAGAAACTAATGATGTGCCCTTGAGTAAATGACATAAACTCCCTATCTTGGTTCCCCATTTGTAAAATAATACTTCCCTCACAGGATTGTTGTGAAAATAAATTCATGAATGCTTGTGAGGCACTCAGTACAGCGATAGGGCCATATTAGTATCTAGAGAGATAGAAGGGTAACTAATTCCGACATTATACAAATTGCATAGTTAATCACTGCTAATGTGAGGGTCTTGCAATTGTTAATAGAGTGGCTTAGGCACAAAGTAAAACAAGGGAAGCATTTTGGTGCTAATGCTTGCTTGTTAGCTATAGCTACTAGACATTTGTACAAGAACTGATGAGCAGGTAACTAGAACTAAGCATGATCTTAATGCAGTTTGCATTAGAGGGCAAGCTCTAACTGTGGAACAAACAATGCTATGAAACAGGCTAAGAATTGTTCCCCTGTACATACCAAATTTGAGACCTTTATTGAAAGGGAAAAAATATTTGTGGAATTTTAATATACCCTAAAACATAATTTGTATGTTAACATTTTTGCTCAAGAAATTGTACTAGTCATGAAAATAAATCTCATAATTGCAGTGTATTATTGTAATGCCTAGGAGGGCCAGACATAGACCCTTTTGTGCTAGGAACCTTACATGTTAATATTTGGTGCATTTTTTTTTTTTTTACCGTCACAGGCAAATTCAGTTTGTAGTCCGATTATAACGTAAACGGGATTTATGGCATGTCAACTCTGCCATGCCCCATCATGACTGAAACAAACCAATATGGTCAGTTTATCAAGACTACGTATGAATAACTAGATGATTCAATCTGCATGGGTAAATGGAGTATCACTTCAACACTGGTAATTCCAGTAGTACTCTGACCTGGTCTATAGTAAGGAAGCTTTCTAAACTTTGCGCCATTTTAAGTGGCTCTTCTACTGGTGTTAATATTGGAGTCCTGGTGTGGCTGGCCTTCATGCTGCTGCAACAATTGATCAGATCTGGTCACAGCAATGTTAGATGATATGGTGTTAAAAAGCTATTGCAGCTTGTAGACTTGTATGCTAGTGCTCTGTTGTTAATATCTCTGGAACTAAACCTATTTTGATGAGGCTTTAGCCTCTCCACAGGTAAGATTCCAGCTTGGCTTTTGTTATAAACCCAATTTTGTCCCCTCCTCCAGTCTAAAATCCTCCAAGTTGTTATACTAGGTCTTGTCTAAGAGAGAACTTTTCTATCAGTTCTGAAGGAAATGGTACAAGGGATTCTTGAATTGTCAATTTAAAAATACAAGTGATTGCTGGAGTCCAGTTTAGCTTTTAATATCGAAAAAGCTATTTTGGATCCCTTCAGGAGGTGGCTTACATTTATTTTTTTTAATTTTCTTTATCTGAGTCCTGTACCTGTTGGACTCATGGTAACTTAGACACATGTCTCTACAAGTGGAATAGTGCCAGTAAGACTCCCAATCTCTCCTCCTCCTCCCCCCCACATCTAGTCTGTCTCCTTACCCAGCCAGACCAATTCCCCACCCACTCCTTTAATCTCCTTGCCCAACTAGTCCCAGCCTCCCCTTACCACATCCCTTGGCTCCCAGTCCTAGTTTCTTTTCTCCAGTGCCAGTCTCACCAGACTTCATGACTCAATCAATTCCTTTCCCTCCCCCCGGTCTGGCTTCTGTTCTGTCTGCATTCGAATCAGGTGTCATGCTGCCTAGATATCACGGGGGCGGGGGGGAGGGGGGTTTGGGGACGACACAGAAGAGAGGCTCCCTGCTGTCCCTTCCAGTGTATGGCCCTGGCCCACAGCTGCCTTTAAAGACAGGGAAAGTCTGGCTTTGTCTTTGTAGCTGTGGGCTGGAGGGAGCATGTTCAGTCTGATCAGAGCTAGGAGCTGTGAGAGGTTCAAGCACATTCAGTGAGGATGGAATCTTTAGGGATTTTAGGTTCTAAAGTATAACAAGTCTCCACTGAGCACGTGTGACTTGCAGTTTTTCAGAACCTTATAAGTTGGCAAAATTTGCATGGATTTTCATGGGGACAGGAGAAGGCACATCCATGACAGAAAAGGATACCACATGACAAATTCAAAGTTCCTTCTCCAAAACCCGGGGGCACTAGAACGGCTCAAAGAAAAGGTTACCAGAATTTTTTAATATGGGCAAAACATATTTTCCTCCAGTCTCTCACTCAGAAATCTCTGAACAATTTTGGCTGGAAATTTCCCCAAAAATTCTACCGGAGGCAGACCAATGATTAGTTTAGTAAAATTATAAGTAGGATCTTGTAATGGGAAGTGTGGGGCACCCTTAATAGTGTGGTGCCACCAGCCCCACCTACAATAATACATAGTGCGGGGGGATGATATAAAGGTTCCATTAGCACTCATACTTATGTGTTGTCATGTATTTTTTCATGTATGGGTTTGTATAAAGTTGAGACTGCTCAACTTGTTTGAGGAACAAAATAAAACAATAAAGGATTTTATTTCAATCTAGTCTCTTTTTTTAGGCTATCCGTAGAGCCTTCTGAGAGAGGGATGTTGTGATTTGATAAGCAAATCGTTTGCTGCTAATTACCATACTTAATTCTCATCACCACCAAGTGGCACTGTGTTTCAATTATCTGTTTGTAACTGCTTCAGATATTCAGGCTTGCTACTCAAAACTAGAGAAGAAACTGCTGTAGTTTCTTCCAGGTAAAATAGGAAAAAAGTGAGGAGGAATTGTTTTTTTTCTACTCTGGGGAATAGACAGAATGTTGCAACAATTTGGAGAGAAAAGGGAAGGACATGTAAGTACCATTCTTCTTTGAGTGTTGGTCCCTGTGTGTATTCCACTGTGGATATGCCCAGACGCAGAGAATTTGTCAATCAGCATTTAACAAAACAGAAATGGATGTGAAATACATGTTTGTATCAGTTCTGTAATTAATTTGAATTATAATTGATAGATTTGGTGGTCGAAGTTGGTAAGCTTTTTAAACTGACTTATGAATTTGGACCTCTCCTGCATTTTTTTAAAAAAATATTGTTCTATCTAGTTACTTTTTGAGTATGATTCTATCAAATAAAATCATTGTATCCAGTGACTGAGTGAAATGAAGGCCTTATCTGATGAATGTTTTGACTGCTCCAACACTAGTACCAATCTTTTTTACTTTTCTAAGGTGGCAGTGGCGGCAGCGAATCCGGATGTATCTTGAAGGAACTGGTATTAACCCTACCCCTGTAGATTTGCATGAGCAGCAGTTAAGCCAGGAGCAGCACAGCAGGGCCCACGTTAATGGAAGATTCCATGATCAAAGTAGGTTGAAGCTGGTATTATGAATGTAATCAACAAAACTTAGCAGTGCTCACTTGAATGGTCAGTTGGTTGTGTAATAAAATAACTCTAATACTTTCCTAATGGACTGTTTTTTCTAAATGGACAACCTATCCTAAATTCTCAATTACTGAGGGGACAATCTTCATTCATTGATATATTTTGCTTTCCGCCACCAACTCTGTATAACTTTTTTCATGGATAGAATACTTGAATGCTAAATATCTAAACTGTATTCTTAAATTCATTCACCTAAATTTGGGTTATTGCCGATTATGCCCTATCTGTATCTTATAACTTTAAAAACAAACCTTGTATTTGTGGATAATCTAAGCACTATACCCAGATGTACAAACACACTTTTCTTAACTTGTATATTATATAATTTTAACATTAGCTTTAATAAAAAAATTTATTGGGGATGTAGTTATTATAAGCTTGTAAAATTGTCATAAATGTAGTAGCGCAAGCTCACGGAAAGTGGGGTTGATCCGTTAGAGCAGGACCCATTTTTGGAGCAGGGACTCTGTCTTGAGTGGAGCAGGGACTCTGTCTTGAGTGTTGAAATATGTCTTCCTGACACTATATACATGTTAACTTCTAAAATTGTTCATATATATTAGTTGACTGTCTATTTTAAAAATTTCATCTGCCATAGCCTGTAGCAAGACTTAAGCTTCTTAAATGGTGTTCCTTGTATTTTGCTATTGGAACTCTTTTTAAGATGAAATTATTCCTAAAAAGAACACACTACTTTTTTTACACACTACAGTTTAAACTCAAATAGAAAAAAGAGCCTGTTTTACAGTTCCCAGTATTTGCGCTTTCTATGATAGGGTAATAGTTTTTATTACAGACCTGAAAGCCTTCATCCTAAATAGTTAATACTAACTGTAAGAATGTTGGGGTTTTAGGGAGAATGGGGGAGAGATTGACCAATCCTGGTAGACGAGCATCAACAGGCCATAGGATCTACTACAGTAACTTCTCGCTTAATGTTGTAGTTATGTTCCTGAAAAATGCTACTTTAAGCAAAACGATGTTAAGCGAATCCAATTTCCCCATAAGAATTAATGTAAATGGGGGGGTTAGGTTCCAGGGAAGAATAAATATAAATACACCTCTACCCTGATATAACGCGACCCGATCTAACACGAATTCGGATATAACGCGGTTAAGCAGCGCTCCGGGGGGGGTGGGGCTGCGCACTCTGGCGGATCAAAGCAAGTTCGATATAACAGTTTCACCTATAATGCGGTAAGATTTTTTGGCTCCCGAGGACAGTGTTATATCAGGGTAGAGGTAGGTGTGTGTGTGTGTGTGTGTGTGTATATATAGAGACACAGACACACAGAGTATAAGTTTTAAACAAACAGTTTAATACTGTACACAGCAATAATGATTGTGAAGCTTGGTGGAGGTGGTGGAGTAAGAGGGTGGGATATTTCCCAGGGAATGCCTTGCTGCTAATTGACAGCTCAGCCGAGTGCTAGTTCATCAAGGGTTAACACATTAATGTAGCCTCACACTCTACAAAGCAGCACAAATGAAGGGAGGAGACACTGTAGATGCGTGGCAGTGGCTGCAAACTTTCCCTGCAGAAACTGAACATGATGATGAACCCACGCTATCCCAATGGAGTGCACCACTCCCTCCACTTTCCAAAGTGCTGAGGTGTGGGGGGGAAGGGTGCATATGTGTGTGAGACAGACACACACACACGGGGGGGGGCACGTGTGAGAGAGAGACTTGCATTGCCCCTTTAAGTACGCTGACCCCACTTTTAAGTACACCGCCTTTTTAAGTAGATCAGCAAGCTCCCTCCATCCTGAGCCCTGTGGTGTGTCCCCCCCAGTCTGAGGAGATGGGGTACAGGAGTGGGGGAAGGGGGACACCCTGACATCAGCACCCCTCTGCCCCCATCTTCCCCGGCACAGCAACCAGGAGGCTCCCGGGAACAGCTCCAAGGCAGATGGCAGGAGCAGCACACGGCAGTGGGGGGAGGAACACCTGAACCGCCTGGCAAGCTGGGCAGCAGCTGCACAGGAAACTTAGGGGAGGTGATGGGGGGCTGCCGGCCCACCCTGGTTCCAAGCCCCCACCAGCTAGTTCCAACGGGCTGCTCTTCTTGCAAGCAGTGGACAAAGCAGGCAGCTGCCAAACAACGTTATAAGGGAGCATTGCGCAACTTTATACGAGCATGTTCTCTAATAGATCAGCGATGTAACAACGTTAACTGGGACGATGTTAAGTTAGGAGTTACTGTATATGGTTTCCCAAACTTTCAAAGCTGATGACTCCCCTCTAGATGAAGCAGTGTTTTTCCAATATGTGTCAGTGTGAACCCCGCTTTAGGAGTGTGAGATTGGAGTCTTGAATGGTAGTGTCTTGGGCCACGTGTGCACCCTGTGCTTCCGTACAGGGGCACAGAGGGTGAGGCGGGGTGTCTATGACCCTCCCTCAGTTCCTTCTTACCACCTGTGGCAGCGAGCCAGAATCTTAGCTTTGGATAAATCTTCTCAAGCTCTTTTTGTAACATTCTGAACTCTCCTGATTTACTGACATACCACTGCCATAAATGATATTGATCTGTCTGGACTGAATGTTCACAATCAGAGCCCCCTATACAGAGGGCTCCACACTGATGCATACTCAGAGGAAATAGAATGCTTACTTAGCCTACAGTATGGTTACTTACCGTACATTTATTTGGGTTCTTTGATATGTGAGTTCCACACTGATTACAACATCTTGCCCTCTATTCCTGTATTTTGGAGTCCTTAGCATCATGATCATAGAATTGCAAGGGAACCCAGAGAAAACCGCAATCACCCCCTGCCTTTTATGTTCTTGTACGGGAACATGTGGAGGCACAGGGCACGTGTGGCCTCAATGGACACTGATATTCAAAAATTCAGATCTCACGTGGATTGTGTTCAAACATATTAACAGTGGGTTTTCCACATACTAGCCTCATGAAGAATCACAGTTATAGTAAGGTAAATAACTTCTTTTTGTAAACCCTTCTTTGAGCTATAACCCTAATCTTGAGCAGGCCAAATGTAATCATCATCATACCAGAAATAATTATAAACTTTTTTGAAGAGGAAACTTTAATTAAAAGGAGATGATCAATCTTAAATCATAGTTTAGTATGAGGGATGCGCCAGCCGTGCTGGCAGAAAAAGATCTCACGAGGTTGAACTGAGGAAAGTGATTGCTCTTCTTTTTTATCACTACCATGAGAGTAACTGGAAATAGAAGGATGAAATCGGAATGAGAACTTTAGCTGCAGACACCTGGGAAAGTTGGGGACTCCTCTGGAGTCAGACAAAAATCTGATTAATTCTTGCCTGAAAAATATTAATTGCAGGGTCTTGACAGACCTCATAATAATAATTTGTGTTACAATAGCCCAGTCAGTGCTTGTGGATCAGCAGGATGAAAAGAGTTGCTGGTCGCCTCTTTCTTCTCTGTTAAACATAGGTAAAATATCCTTGCAGGTGGATCTGATGTTCCCTCAGATGGTGATTTATGAGGTCCTGGAGGTTTTCAGCTGCATCCTTAATTCCAGTGATTAAGAGAGTAGTTTCTTCTAGTTTCACAATTTCCTCTCAGCAAATTTCCCAGTGGTCCGTTCTTCTGTAAAACATTCATATTCGGCTCCTGCGCAGTTTGCAATAGTAATTTTTTTTAAAAGATCAAATAAGGATGGGATAGAAATTAATACTGAAAATAGCATAATGTCATTACATTGATCAATGGTAAACCCTCACCTGGAATACAATTAGAGGGGTTCAGAAATAGGTGACAAGAATGATGAAAGGCATAGAAAAACTATCGAGAGACTGAAAAGATTAGGACTGGTGGAGACAAATAAGAGAGGACATGTTAAAGGTACAGTATAAAGAATAACGGTGTAGAGAAGGTGGAATGTTCATCCTTTCTCATAATACAAAAACAAAGGATTGGACGTTCAATGAAGTTGAAAAGTGGCAAATCTTAAAACTAATAAATACTTATTTACTCAATGCATAATTAGCCTGTGGGAAGTGATTGTTATAAAGTATTAAGGCTAAGTGTTTATCAGGATTCAGAAGCGATTGAACATTTGTATGGATAACAAATATACAGAGTTATAACAGAAACAACGAGGAGTCCTTGTGGCACCTTAGAGACTAACAAATTTATTTGGGCATAAGCTTTCATGGGCTAGAGCCAACGAAACCTTATGCCCAAATAAATTTGTTAGTCTCTAAGATGCCACAAGGACTTCTCGTTGTTTTTGCTGATACAGACTAACACGGCTACCACTCTGAGACTTATAACAGTAAAGATTAAAAAGAATTTTGGAAATGATTAAACCCTCATGCTTCAGGGCATAAGTCAGCTTCTAACAATGGTGTTTAGGAGAAAACTTCCCTTGTGAGCAGATTGTCATAACTGTTTCTTGTAGAATTTTTTGTATCTTCCTCTGATAGCACTGCTCTACAGCCAAAATGCTTCTGAAATAAATGTAGTCAAACTTTACTAATTCTGGGTCACTGAAAACGAAAATGATGCTTAAAATTGTTGATTGGCTCTAGTTTTCAAGATATGCTATTGGGTCAGTATATACGACCCTTGACTTGGGAATGGTGGAGGATAAGTGAGTTATAAAGGGAAGGGATCTCAATTTAAACCAGAAATGACTAAAATACAGCTTTGACTGGATCTATGAATAAATCTATGACTGGGTTTGGACAGTACTTGCTTTTTAGGCAAAACAATGAATGATGCAATCTGAAGCTGGTATTGCGTCATACATGATATGAATTGCATCATGTTATTCCTAGAAGTCATGGATGATGCAATCATAACAAAGCTTACATCACTCTGCTGAACAAATTGCCCTATATCAGCTCTAGAAATCATACAGTGTCGTGCTCTCTTATTTGTCAGTGTTTGATTTTGCAAAGGGACACCTTTCTGTTTAGCCAAAGTGAGCAGAGATGCCTCGTACTTGTGTGAACAGTGCAGATAACTTCTGCTATGTTTGTGGTGAAGTGACTTTTGCATCACAAAAGCGCAGTATAACCACTATGGTTAAGAAAGCCTATCACCTTTATTTTGGCTGCACAATTGGAGATCAGGACAAGAGGTGGGCCCCACACATATGCTGCAACACTTGTGCAACAAATCTTCGCCAGTGGTTGAACAGGAAAAGGAAATCTATGCCTTTTGCAGTGCCAATGATTTGGAGAGAGCCAACAGATCATACCAGCAATTGTTACTTCTGCATGGTGCCTCCAGTTGGGAAAGGTGTGTCAAAGAAGAAAAAGTGGACTGTGCATTATCCAAACATTCCATCAGCTATATGCCCAGTACCCCACGGAGAAGGACTGCCGGTTCCTGATGCACCAGAATCATTCTCACTTGAGTCAGACGAGGAAGAGGATGAAACTTCTGGTCCTGAACCATCAGTGTCACAGGACCCACATTTTCTCCCATCCTCCTCCTCTGAACCACACCTCATAACACAAGGTGAACTGAATGACCTTGTCAGGGATTTTGGAACTACCCAAGAGTAAGGCAGAGCTGTTGGGCTCCAGACTACAGAAGTGGAATCTCCTGGCAGGTGATGTTAGGGTTTCCATGTTCCGTGACCGTCAAAAGGATCTTGTCCCATTCTTCTTCATGGAAGGTGATCTTGTAGCCTGCAACAACATCGATGGTGTGATGGCAGCCCTCAACATCGTTCACGATCCAGATGAGTGGAGACTGTTCATTGATTCATTGAAGACGAGTCTTAAAGCTGTTTTACTGCATTATGGCAATGTTTTGCCATCAATTCCAGTTGGTCATGCAGTCCATATGAAGGAAACCTATGACAACATGAAACAATTTTTGAGGTGCATAAACTATGACCAACATCAGTGGCAGCTTTGTGGCGATTTGAAGGTTGTTGCTCTCTTGCTTGGTCTGCAGACTGGATACACAAAGTACTGCTGTTTTCTCTGCGAATGGGATAGTCGTGCAAGAGATTCCCACTACATCAAGAAAGATTGGCCACTCCGACAGTCATTGGAGCCTGGGAGGAAAAGTGTTCAGCATCCACCACTTGTTGAATCAAGGAAGATTTTGTTACCACCCTTACACATCAAGCTGGGTCTGATGAAGAACTTTGTCAAGGCCATTGACAAAACACAAGCAGCTTTCAAGTACC